CTTTCTTTGTTTCTCTCTTTCTTTCTTTTCTTTTCTTTTCTTTTCTTTACTCTTCTTTTTTTTCTTTCTTCCTCTTTCCTCCCTCCCTCCCTCCCTCCCTCCTTCCCTTCCTTTCTTCCTTCCTTCCTTCCCTCCTTCCTTCCTTCCTTTTTGTCTTTTGTTTTGCTATAGATGCATGTGCTCACCAAAGAGAGACAGGGAGATAGAAAATGAGAAATCACTTCCCAGGGTGGATGGTCATACTGTAATCCTTTCTTCTCAATTTCTCCTCTTGAGATTTTTGGGCACATATGCGTCCAGTGTGGTGTGTTTTTATTTTTCTCTTTCTTTCTTTTTCTTTTTTCTTTTTAGAGAGATTTTTGCTATAGAGTGTGTGTGATTGCTGGATAGACTGGGAGAGACAGAAAGTGAGAAATCAACCCCCGGGGGGATGGCCATGCTGCAATCTCTTCTACAGGCTTCTCTCAGGATTTTGGGCATGCACACACACATGCCTGGCCCGAGTTTCAAGCTGCCAGGTTCAGTACTCAAACCACGGTCGGCCATGTGGAAGTCCAGTGATGTAACCATTATGCCATTTGCTGGTCCCTGTGTTTTTCAAGCCTCTGGGTCCAAGACTCGAACTGTGCAGTTGGCCATGTGGGATCCAGCCACCTTAACCATGCCACCTATCTGGACCAACGTGGGCATTTTTCTTAATTTTGTGTATGAAAAGACAGAGGCACAGCAAATTTAAGTAACCTGGCCCAGGTCCCAAAGTGAGGATGCAGAATTCAAACTCAATTCTCTTGTTCCAAACTTCTGTAATAGAGGGGGATTAATTTGGGACAGAGATAAGAGTTGGGGAAAGATAATGTGTTTGGGATATATGGAATTTGGGGTACTTTCTTTTAAAGAATTACTTTATGTGGGGCTTACAGGTGGTGTGGTGGCTAAGGATACTGGACTCCCACATGGCCAACCTTGGTTTGAGTCCTGGACCTGGTAGCTTGCTTTGTCACTTTCTCTCTCTCTTTCTCTCTTGGTCTGTCCCTCTCTGGCCAACATAAATAAATAAAGTTAAAACAAGAATTATTTTATTTAATTTTATTTATCCATTTATTTATTTATTTTAATTTGACCAAAAAGGGACAGGGTGAGAGAGAGAGAGAGAGAGAGAAAGTGAAAAAGCACACCACCATGTCTGGGACTTGAACTGTGGTTGGCCATGTGGGAGTCCAGTACCCTTAACCACCACATCACCCATCAGCTCTGGGGTACTTTTTTTTATTGCCAGAGTGTGTGTGAGTTCACCAGAGAAAGAGAGAGAGAGAGAGAGAGAGAGAGAGAGAGAGAGAAAGTACCCCCACCCCCCAAATAGGATGGTTATGCTGCAGTCTTTTTCCTTCCATTTCTCCATCCTGTCAGGATTTTGGGCACATAGGCACACATGCCAAGCATGTTTTAAAGCCATCAGGGCCAGCAATCCAACTGTGGTTGGCCATGTGGCATCTGGCTTTTTAGGCACAGCACTTAACTGCTGCACTATGGGCCCAGCCTTGGATTACCTTTGAGTCATCCAAGTAGAGAAGTTCAGCTGGCAAATGAATTGAGTATACAGCTCAGATGACAAGTCTAGGTCAAGGAACACATTGCGGAGTTGCCAGTCTAGAAATGTTACTTGGAACCACAGAGTTGGTAAGACCACCCCAGGAAAGTGTATAGAAGGATTGAATAGAACTATAAGGAGTATCAGTTTTAAGGAATGACAGAGAAAGAACCCCCAAAAAGATACAGCCAGAATTGTAGAAAGAACATTAGGACAGTAGCCTCATGGAAGCCAAAAGAAGAGTTTCAAAGAGAGTGTGGTCAACAGTGTCATAGTCTACTTGAGGGGTGAAGTAAGGTAAGGGCCAAGGTATGTATTTTGATGGTGAAACAAGAAGTCCGTTAGTTATGCCAGAGGACAGTCTTGGTGGACTAGTGTGGACAGAATCCCATTTAGTTGGTTGAACCCAGGAAGTTGAGGCGGTGAGTATAGATAAGTTGATCAATGTGTTTGTTTTTTAGGAACTAAGAATTCAGTGTCCAGATTATAAGTGAGGTCCCTCTACTAATTGGGATCCTAGGGATCTCCCTCATGAGAAGACATATCCCTTTCATCTCTGACCATTACTTTTTAAAAATTGTTATTAATTTTTTTTTCTTCTTAAGCCTCTGCTTTATCTGTTCCCTCCCCCATAGAATACTACCTGAATTAACCTAGATCTGGTAGCTTATGAGGGATATGAATAGGACACACTTCCAGGGTAGCCAAGTGCTCACCACCTGTCTTCTCTTCTCCTAGGCATATACTAGTTGGGTTCCAGCCATGGAGAAGCTCCACGGGCACACGTCTGCCCATCTGGACATCCTCTCCTTGGAGAACCGATGCCTGGCCACACTTCCTGACCTGAAGACCGTGGAGAAACCACATGGACATGTGTCTGCCCATCCAGACATTCTCTCCTTGGAGAACAAGTGCCTAGACACCCTCCCCAGTATGAAGAGCATGGTGTCTGCTAGCCCCTTGCTCCAGAGTCTCCAGATTTCTCCCATGGTGCAAGCTGACTTGTATAACCTGAATACCAGTTGCCTGCTCTCTGAGCTTCCAGTCTGGAAGGCTCAGTGTCTCTCTAAGGAAATAAACCTAACTTGCCCTATGGCCCTGAAGTCCACCTCTGCCACTGAGAGAGTTCAGGAAGCAACTTCGGTAATAGCTCTGGGCACTCATCTTGACTTCAGCCATGTCTGCTGTGTTCTGTCATCACCAGCTTTTAGTGCCTCAGTTTCCTCTGTGCTGCTCTGTGTCTGGGTCCTTTCTAGCCTCAGTGCCTCTTCTGAGCCCTTTACCCAGGGCTGTCCTCATTAGCATCATTACTCTTATTGCAGATGTCGTTCAGAGATTCTGAAAATAGGTAAAAAAAAAAAAAGTCCCTGTCCTTAGAAAGTCTCTGCTCAAGAAGACAGCCAGGTTGATATTGCTGTGAATCAGGTGTTTTGTTTGTTTTTTTAGCTTTGTCTCTTGTTTTTAAAAATTTATTATAGGGCTCTTGTCAGGAAGAGATGGAGAGAGAAAGGGAAAATGAGAAAGTACTCCCCAGGGGGCTGGCCAGACCTCAGTCCCATCTCCTGTTGGGATTTTGATGTGAATTTTGGGCATACATGTACACACATGCCCTCATGTTTTTCTTTTTATTTCTAAGAGAGATTATGGGGCATGTGCACTCATAGGAGAGACAGAGACAGAGAGACAGAAAGTGAGAAATCACCCCCACAGGGGTGATGTCCATGCCCCAATCCCTTCTCCATTCTCTTCTTGGAATTTTGGGCACATATCATACATACTCATGTGAGTTTTAAGCCGCTGGGTCTGGGACTTGATCCTCCATTGGCAACATGGGAGTTCAGCGACGTAACCATTATACTGTCTTTTGGTCCCAGCCCTTGTCTTTTATAAGCTGTTGGGCTTGAGACTTGTACCTCTCAGTTGATTATATAAATCCAACTGCCTTAACCAACATGCCACCTGGCTAACCCCATGAATCAGGTGCTTTTATATATATTTTTTTTAGGGGGGATAGATTTTGATATTGGGCTTGTATGCTCAGCAGACATAGATGGAAAGAGAGAAAGTGAGAAATCAACCCTCAGGGGGGATGGCCACACCACAGTGTTTTCTTCATTCTCCTTTCAGGATCTGGGGCAGGCATGTACACGGGATGGCCACACCACAGTGTTTTCTTCATTCTTTCAGGATCTGGGGCAGGCATGTACACATGCCCGATGTGTTTCAAGCTATCAGGTCCAGATCTCAAGCCCCGGTTGACTACATGGGAGTCCAGAGCCTTAACCACTATGCCAGCTGCTGGCCCCATTAATCAGGTGCTTTTAAGATGAGACATGAGACACATCTGCTGTACCATGGCCTGCTTCCTTAATGTGAATGTGGAAGCACATAATCTTGTCCACATCTACATAATCACATTTAGTATATGGGTCAAACCATTGCTTCTGTGTAGACCCGAAGTTTGGGGTGAGAGACAGGGCTGATCTGAGCCCTATATTTCTCTACCAGTTAAAAACTATACAACCATGGGCAAGATTTGAACCTTTTGGAGCCTTAATTTCCTCATCTTTTTTTTTTTTGAGAGATTTTCACTGTAGGGCGTGTGCGCTCGCCAGACAGAGAGACATAGAGACAGAAAGTGAGAAATCACCCCCCAGGGGGGATGGTCACGCCGCAATCCCTTCTCCTCCATTCTCCTCTTGGGATCTTGGGCACGCACACACACGCACCCGGCGTGAGTTTTAAGCCACTGGGTCCGGGACACGAACTGCGGTCGACTACGTGGGAGTCCAGCGACATAGCCATTATGCTAACTGCTGGTTCCCTAATTTCCTCATCTTTAAAACGAAGTGATGAAAATCTACCTCACAGAATTGGTAGGATTACAACTATTGCCATCTTACATTGATTTGGGGCTTTGCAATTTGTAAAGAGCCATACATGTTATTCTATTTAGTTTTCCAGTGGCTCTATCAGGTACGCAGTGGTGCATAAGGAAGCTGAGGTTCAGAGAAGTTACACAGCCCAAGGTAGCCAGGAGATTGATAATGGGATTTTGCCCTTTTCTTCTGACTCCAGAAATCTTTTTATAGGATCCTGGGAAGTGTGTGAGGGCTCCAGGCTCCCGGATTGGCATCAGTTAGATGAAAGCTAGGTGGAAGATCATGAAGCATCTGAGCAAAGCCTTGCTGGATTGAGTAGGGCAAGGTGGTGTGTGTGACAGCGGGAAGGTGTGAAGTCAGACAGGATAGATCAGTGCTGAGGTGGGAAGGGAGAGGGTTTTATATGTACTAGATAGCGATGTAGACTCTTCTATCTCTGGTAGTTACTTTCAGATCTGTGTTGCAGGGACCATGGGTATATGCTATGATTATAATTACTGCTGCTTCCAGGATCATCGGTCTTATCCAGAAGAAGAGAGAAAGCCAGAAGAGAAAGAAGGGACAGAGACCCAAATGCCTTTTTATAGTCTCAGCTTGGGAGAGGAGGAGAAGGTAGAGGAGATGGCCCTTAAGCTCACCTCTGGGGAATCCAAATCTCTTCCTGACTTCATGGACCAGACCCTTCAGGAAAAGAAGGTGAGTGTTCCAGAGTCAGGGGAAGGGTGATGGTGGTGGAGTGGAGGGAAGGTGGAACTCCTGAACCAGGTCCCCTCCCTGTGTGGAATCCGAAGGAGGGGACACACCCGGCTTTTATTTTTTACTTCCTAACTCCCTTTTCTAACCTCTCTGTTGGACAAACATCTTTCCAAATCTATTTTTTTTTCATTTTGTCAGTTGCCCTTGATTTTGTAGGTTGGTCTGTATGGATACTTATTTCTTCTCTCCTTTCTTCCCTCTGTTTCTCATTTCCCAGATGGCACTAATGAGCTTGCTGTGCTCTACTGTAGCCTCGAATGTAAACATGAAAGATCCAGATGACCCCACCCGGGCGTCCATCCTTGAAGTCTGCAGTGAACTTGCTCCCTTGGAGCCTGAGTTTATCCTCAAGGTATTGTGGTATGAAGAAGAGGATGGGGGTGGAAGCTGGGAGATTGGGAATATAGTTAGAGTGTGTGAGGGGAACTAGCTTCATGGTGGAGGTGGGAGGTGCTTTACTTAGAAAGAGAGTAGGATCTTTGGGTGAGTCTGAGAACCTAGTCTCTGGCATTCTGGCATTCTGTGACAGGTGGAGAAAAATGAGATTTCTAGGTTTTGTTTGTTGTGTACAAATGAAATATACAGCAGTAGACCTGGAGTTCATGGTAACGGATATAATGAAATTTGGGGGGACCAGCAGGTGGTGTGGTGGTTAAGGTGCTGGACACTCCCACATGGCCAACCATGGTCCGAGTCCTGGACCTGGTGGCTTGCTTTCTCACTTTCCCTCTCTCTCTGTATGGTCAAAGCTAAAATAAAATAAATGAATAAGTAAATAAAATTAATAAAATAAAATAATTCTTAGAAAAAATTGGTATGGTTCTTAAGGAGCTTATATCAATAGTGTTGTTAGAGAAGCAGAATACTTCCCCAAATATCATATAATGGAATTAGAGTAGTAGATAGTGAACATTTCAGAAGTAGAGAAGAGGGGGAAAGTATTTTCTATGAGGCTTTGGAAGTGGCAGATTTAATCAGATTTTGAAGCCTGGATAAATTTTTTTTTAAAATTGACAGAAAAGCACATGATCTTGCCAGAGTGGGTAGACAAGGGAGGGGGAGAAAGCACCCCCACAACACACACACACACACACACACACACACACACACACACAATGGGGCATGATCACATCACAGTCCTTTCTCCGTTTTTCCATCCTGTCAGGATTTTGGACACACATGCATGTATACCTCTCAATTTTTTTAAGCCTCCAGGGCCAAGTGTGGTCAGCCATGTGGGATCTGGCTCCCTTAACCACTAGGTGATAGGCCAGCCCACCTGGATATATTTTGGAAAGATGTTGATTTGGAAGGTCTTCCCCAAAGGGAAAGGTCTGGTTGACTTGGAAAGCAGTTGGTAGACTAAAGACATGCTCAGAAGGTGGATAAGAGCTAGATTATGGAAGACTTAGAAAGGTAAACTGGGCTTTATATTTTGTAGCAGTATGGAGGGCTCAGGAAAGGCTTTACACAGACAGAGTCAATAAACAAGTTAGTTCAGGACACAAAGCTATGAGAGTAGGGCTGAGATGCTAGCCCTGTGCATACTGTGTCCTAGGCATCTTTGTACACCAGGCAGCAGCTAAACATCCGGGATGCGGCCAACAAAGTCTTGGCCATTGCTGCCTTCTTGCCAGCCTGCCGCCCCCACCTGCGAAGATATTTCTGTGCTATTGTCCAGCTACCTTCTGATTGGATCCAGGTGGCCGAGTTCTACCAGGTATGGCGGTCACTTCCCTGAGCTCTGGGTTCCCGTTCTTTTGCTCATTGCATCCCTGGAGAAAATTCTAAGACAGTTCTGCCTCCCTTCAGCTGTCCCCAGCTTCAGGACAGCTTCTCTCTGTACCAGGCCAGATTGCCCAACACAGAGACTGTGACTGAAAAGGGATGGACTGATACTTGAAAAAAATCTACCTTATTCTGGACCTCATGTTTATGATGAAGAAAACAATCATCAGAGAAGTCTGCTGATTTGCCCACTGCCACAGAAATTGTCATTTTAAAACTGAGGCAGGAAGCTAATTTCCTATTCTGTGATCTCATAGAACTTCATGAAGTAGTCTTGCTTTATTTGGGGGGCTTGGGTGGAGTCTCCCTTCTGATAATCTCTCTCTCTGACAGGCACTGGCTGAAGGAGATGAGAACAAGCTGGTGCCGCTGCCTGCCTGCCTCCGGGCTGCAATGACTGACAAATTTGCCCAGTTTGATGAGTACCAGCTGGCTAAGTACAACCCTCGGAAACACCGAGCCAAGAGATGCCCCCGGCGGCCCCCACGGTCTCCAGTTAGTCTCTCCCTTAGCCCTGTTCATTCATAACCCGGGCACCTTTTCTCAGGGAAGAGAGGGACAAGGGAACATGCTGATCTTGGAGTCACCCCTACCAAGCATCTGACATGTTCCTACCTAAGAACAAAAGGAGTTGGATTCAGAGGAGCTGAGGGGGCGGAGGAAACAGGGCAGACATCTTTCCTGACTGGCTTCATTTTGGTAGCAATAGATCTTCAGGGCTATTGGAATAGGTCTTCTCAATGACTAACAGAAACTGCTTCTCCTGTGCCTACAGAAGACAGAGCGCCCATTTTCCGAGAAACACAGGTATTTCTCAGGAGGCCTTCAGGCTCTGAAAGATGAGCAGATAAAGGTGAGTCTCTTGTTACGAGGTCATATATGTGCGGGTATAGTCTTCTCTGGACTAATATTTAGAGATGAGATTGTAAATCCTAAGTAGGTTTATAAATACTAATAGTGGTTGTGGTAGGAGCACATGCTAATTTTCTGCCTGGAGATTCTCAGACATGATAATGGGGATCAGGTTCTGAGAGCACTGGTTTTTTTTTTTTTTT